ATATCGCGATGGAAAGTCTTCATCCAAACAGTACGCAAGCAGAAAAGCAGCGCTTGAAGGGCATCGTCCAAGTACATTGTACGCAGGCGGAATCAGCCCTCGCATCACGGTGCGATCGATGGATCGCTCATCAAAACCCCCTGCGTCCTTTCCTAAAAAAAAAATCAACCCCTGTGTCCTAAAGAAAAGATGGACCAAACCCTAGAAGGCCAGGCGCTTGATTCTTGCTCCAGTATGTCCAGTTTATGCATGCGCCGCCGCCTCGTTTTTCTGGGAGTCACCAATCAAACACCTATTCCAAGCGGCCATGGCACAGCTCCCTGCTGGAGACACCCCATTGCAGATTTGCAGCCCCTCTACCCAGAGAGAGAACCGCATCAGCATCAAGGCCTGATCAGCATCACTTTCATTGCCACCGCAATGCGATTCTAGGCAATTGCCCTTTGACCCTCCCGTTCTGAAGGAATATAACTAGCAGACTAGAGAGAATCAAAGAAGGTATGACTGTATTAACATATGCCCTACGTTTCCCCATGATGATTGATAAATTTTATCTGGATAGAACGATCAAATTTTTACTTCTTTGTTGTTGCGATATGGACATTGACAACTGATTGAATGTACACATTTTAGCAGCAGATATTATTCAGATTTATGAGCTGGGGTTGCCCTTTGATCCTTCCGGTTCATCCTTGGAAGAAATATAATTAGCAGCCAATTAGGGAGAATTTGAGGAGGCATGACTCTCATGGCATATGCCTGCGTTTTTGCCATGACCATTGACAAATATTTATTTTGGTAAAACGATCAATATTACTTCTTCCTTGTTTGCAATATGACCATTGATTGATTCGATGTTATAATTTGATGTATACATTAAGAGGGCCCCATGTTTTAGTTTCACCCCGGGCCCCAGAATCTGGCTCTGGGTACATATGTACCCTATATAAAAAACAATTAGTAATTCAACAAAAAGTTAAAAGTTTCTAAAACTATTTTTGAAATAAACTTGATCTTCCATTATACTCGTGAGAAAAGTTTCACAAAAAGAAAATTCCTCTTTGACTTCTTTTCAAAAAATATAAATTTTTGGCCAAAACAACATGAACAGTGACCTATAATAGCAAATAAATATTGTCTCTTTCGCTATGAAGTCAAAAAGAAAAAATCTCTATATAGGATGTATATACAATCAGAAACCAAAGTGTATTTCCCAGGCAGCTATGAAGATTAATGTGGGTGCTTCTTAGATAAACGGTTGCATCTGGTAAGCGCAGCCTCCAAGGATGCATCCGACGCTCACCCCGCCGACGTTTGCCTATTCCCAGTTGACCACGGCTGTAACAACTCCGCGCTCCTCCAAGCATCTGTGCTCTCACCCATGGCTCACCAGGCTGATCACATACGTGACCGCTTTCCGGTGTACGCAACGGCTGCGGTGTGACGGCCTAACTCGCAGTAGCTTGTGCGGGGAGAGGAGGAGGTCTTCTTGGGTCAGTATGTCACTTGATTGAGGCACCCGCATGCTCTACGGATACTGATTTTTGCTAATTAGCAACCACGTTCCACACTCTAACCACGACAACACATCATTTTATAACAGGGCAGTGATTTATTTTGCGGAGATCAGAAATCTCTGAATTTCTGAGAAACAGCTTTCTACTTCAGCAGTAGGGTTGGCCTAAAGCCAGCCCATAGAATATATACGGGCTATGTTGGTACAGTTTCTTATTCATGCACTCTAGTTGTTTGTGTTTTTGTCAAACCAGCATGTGCCATGGTTCAAACATAGAGTGGTCATAAGTTATTGAATCTTGGTGGTCACGAATTTACACACAAAAGACCTGGGGTCCTGGAAAGTTTTGGAATGCTTCTTCTTTTTTTTCTTTTTTTAGTTGCTACTTTTTTTGTAGGATAGTTGCTATTTTATTTGACTATGCTGATTTCATATGGTGTCACATCCTCATGGAAAATGACTATTTAATTGTAATAATGAAATGCTACTCCCTCGGGTATAGAGAATTATTTTTTTGATGATTGGCTATAAATAGAACTAACTTCTGATTAGCATTATGCATGGGCATACCATTTTTTTTCTTATCTTCGTATGTACTCCCTCCGTTCCAAAATACTTTTTCATGATTTTTTTCAAATTAGATAAGCTCTGAATATTAACACAAGTGAAAATGACATTGCCTACAAGATTATCACACCATGAGAAGTCAGTAGTTCAAGATTGCCTTTAACAGTCGAAAAGTACAAGCCCCTTTAACCAGGATAACAACATTCATTTTTCTCTATAAAAAAAGGGAGTAAGCGAGTAAGTACAAAGCGGTCTAATGTTTGCCAAGCCACATTTTTTGGATTCCATACGTGCCCTTCCATCTAAAATACAGCATTGACTAATTGACCATGCGTTGCAACACCAATCGTGTCCGACAGATACCTTACGCCCACCATATTCTAGTTTTTGGTAAAATTCGACTTGATTTGAGTATGGGTAGGGAAGGCAACGAATGTGTTGATTTTCTTGAGGTTTTGGTAAAATTTTGATTTGATTTGGGTATGAGCAGGTGGAGCAAGGAATGTTTTGATTTAGTTGAGATTTTAATCAAATTTGATTTGATTTGATTGTGTTAACGATGGACATGGTCTTGGGACGAACATACAAACACCAAATACTCATCTTTAATGGTAAAGAAAAAACTACATAAATGGTACTGATTTGTTCAGAGTGTGGACACGATCTTGCCTTGCCGTGACAAATGTATTGACGTTGATTCATTCAGGCAACTAAAATAACAGCAAACATGAAAACAAAAGGACAAGAGAATTTGGGGTACATCCAAATAAATGTCTACATCTTTCATCTTTGGACATGACATGTAGTACACGCTAGCTGTTGGCGTCGCAAACAATTATTCACTGACCGATCATCTGTATCATTTCCATGCAAGTTAGCAGTTGTAGTCTCCTAGTAGGCGTCATCGTGCCCAAGTCTTCAGGTCAGCATGGATGCAATACAGCGACTGTCACTTGACGCTGACCTAGAGCTCATCGTCATGAGCCACGACCAAGTTCGCCTGCGCAGCGACGTCGCGGCCGTGGGCCTTGTGGTCTCCGAAGGCCCGGTTGAGGAACATGGCCAGCCTCACTCCGCCCTGCGCGATCCGCCGCGTCACGATCGGGAGCCTCGAGCCGAAGTAGTCCTCTGCAGCGCACGAAGCATCATTCAGGATGAATGACATGGCATGGCATGATGAACACGAAGCCAGGTGGAGCCGGGAAGTGGCTTACCGGACAGTGTGTCTCCGTCGTGGACGCCGTCGTAGCCCCACTTGCACGCCAGGCCTATGCTCTCCGTGGCATACTTGGTTGGGCAGGACATGAGGTCCGCGCAATCTTTCCATGAAGACTCGTCGGACCATGAGCCCTGGAGGAAGAAGACAGACGTGTATATATCACAATATCTAAGCTAGTCTGTGAATTTCAGACATTTTCCTGGTCTTGGTATATTGAAAAAGAAAATGTTCCTGGTCTTGAAGAGCACGTCTGTAAATGTGCGACAGTTCATTTGGTTTGCAACATACCTTGGTGATGTTGTGCTGGAGGTCCTTGCGGAAGGCGGCCATGTCCTTGGCGTAGCGCTCGGCGAGCACCGTGAGTATTATCTCCCTGTCCCATACCTGCAGATTACAGGTGAAAATTTAAGCTCTGCTTGTGACATGTCATTGCGTGTACGTAAAGAGGATCACTGAGTTTATTTACATGATGGAGGTTGGACTTGTGCTTGAACCAGCGCAGGTTCACCGAGTTGCCCCCCATGTCGCTCGTGAACCCCACGTGCATGGGCTGCACATACATACCATGGACAAAATACAAAAATTATGTCAGAGACTGATCATCTGTACAATAATCACAGGATTACTAGTAGATTTTAGAAGGACCAAAAATACCTGGTGAATATCTCCCATGAAGTGTGACAGGAACAGCAGAGCTTCCGTCAGGTTATCTGCATTCTCAACAGATTCAGTCAAGAACTCAGAACAGTGATACAGAAACGCTGGGTGACAAGACATGAACACCCTCGCATAGACGCTTACACTTGCGATCGGCGCTGCCCTGCTTGTAGTGCATGAGCTGGGACGTGAAGTTGGCGACGGCGCCGGCCACACACATGTCCTTGGCGCCGCTGGGGTCATGGCAGTCCCCTGTGCAGCCATTGGACATATATCATGGTTTTAATTCAGAAATTCAGAAGAAGTTGTGCTTCTCGACGTACGGGCGTAGTCGAAGGTGCAGGCCTTGTCGGGGGTGTCGATGAAGTGCAGCGGGCTGGTCCAGCGGTACTTGTACCAGTGCCTCACCTGGTCCGGCCACACGCACATCGCCGACAGGTCGCCGCCCGCCTCCTCCGGCAGAAGGTTCTTCACCGCCTGCGCCGCCGCAGGCTCCAGCAGATCCTGCCACGACAACACAATCAATCGCCCATTTAAGGTTTCAGTGGTGTCGACAATGCAGGATGCCAAAGATGTTACAGTAAACAGAATGACAAGTTATTTTTTCTTTTACCTGTGCGATCTGGCATGTGAGCATGTGTCCCTCGGTGCTCCACGCCCGCGCCGCTGGCGCCGACGCGAGCACCAGCCCGAGCACCGCCGCTACCATGAACGCTCCTGAGGACGCCATTGCCAATGTTGGTAGGTCTCGTTGCTCAAGGTACTCTGCACCTGGTTGATGAGAGATTCAGAGGACATAATGGCGATATATATGCAGGGGAGCTGGATGAGGAAGGCGGCGAGGTTTCTTTGAGTGCAAGCATGGCGTTGGTGGTTCCTTCGCTTAGCTCCATGAATTACGTGCTCGGAATCTAGTGGTTGTGGTTGTGGTTCAGTGGAAGCTCCCTTTTGCTTCCCCTGTTATCGTGGGAACTGACGAGGTTGCTGTTTTTGCGTACGTTCCCGATGCTTGAAGCATCACCCTAAATGCCAGAACTGGGCTGGGCCTGGGTGGATCGCGTTGGGCCAGGCCTTGGTGGAATGCGTTGGGCCGGGCCTGGGTGCGAGAGACAAAGCGCTGCGGCGGCGAAGCGGCCGACGACGGAGGATAAACTTCAGTTTGACATCCGAAACGGCTGGGTTGCTGTCGCCGGCCGCCGGCGATGTCGACGGCTGCAGCCACCGCCGCCCTGACCTCCTCCACCTTCGCGCGGCGGCCTCGCGCCCCGCGGGGCGGCAGGCGGACGGTGCGGCCGCGCGGGTGCGCGTTCCACCCGGAGGTGGCCCGGGCGGTGGAGTCGCTGCAGGCGGAGTTCCGGGAGGTGGACCGCGCCCTCGCCCTCAACTCCTCCCGCGTCTCCACCGCCTTCCGCGCCGCCCGCGTCGCCCCCCACGTAACCCCTCACACCTCCACTCCGCATACTCTCTCTCTCTACCCCCTTTGCCTGCTGCTACTGCTCTCTGACGCGCGGGTGCCCGTGTGGGAACTGCAGCACTTCGGTGGGTCGACCGGGTACGGCCACGACGACGCCGGCGGCAGGGAGGCGCTCGACGCCGTCTTCGCCAACGTCGTAGGCGCCGAGGCCGCCATCGTGCGCCCCCAGGTTTCCCCCCTCAATTCCACATTGCATTGCCGCATTCCCCCCTCAACATTAGCTGAACTCCAGGTGACGAACACTTGTTGTTGGTTTGCCAGTTCTTCTCTGGCACGCACGCCATCGCCTGCGCTCTGTTTGCGCTGCTGCGGCCTGGGCTCGAGGTAATTATATGGACATGACTGAACCAAAATTCCGGCATTGTTTCTGCTGGACCGAGAGAACTATAGAGAACTGATGACAGACAACTCCTACTGCAGCTCTTGGCAGTTGCCGGGCCTCCGTATGACACATTGGAGGAGGTCATTGGAATCAGAGGTTCGGCCAATGTAGGATCGCTCAAGGACTTTGGAGTTACCTACCGAGAAGTTCCGGTGAGCTGATTATTCCCCTCCAGACATCTGCTACTCTGTGTCACATTGTGTTACTCTGTGTTACTTTGCATCTGCTACTCTGGTTTGTTACATTGTGCTTTTGGATGGCTTGGTAATGTGGATTCAGTTGTAGCTCGCAGCAGATGGTGGCCTTGACTGGGACGCGCTTGCACATGCCGTCGGACCGGAGACCGGGTGCGCGCTCATACAGAGGTCCTGTGGTTACTCGTGGCGCAAGAGCCTGGGCGTAGCTGATATCCGTAGAGCTATCGATTTGATCAAGGCAAGATAACACTAGTCTGAATTTAGTGGCCAGGATATTCCATGTCATGCCTGGTTAACTTATGAATGTGCTGACATTGCTCATGGTTTGGGTCCCACTGGCACTGCAGATGCAAAATCCAAACTGCAAGGTCATGGTGGACAACTGCTATGGTGAATTTGTTGAGACGTCAGAGCCTCCAATGGTGGTATGTTCACAATGGTCAATATCATACAGTATAAAATAACAGAGCAGTCTTACCTAATTGCACATTTCATAGCAGGGAGCAGATCTGATTGCCGGTAGCCTGATAAAGAACCCCGGCGGTACCATTGCGCCTTGCGGTGGCTATGTTGCTGGGAAGAAAGATTTGGTTGCTGCAGCTGCAGCTCGCCTATCCGCACCGGGCCTTGGGGTGGAGTTTGGGTCAGCACCTGGACATGTTATGCGTGCAATGTTTCAGGGCTTGTTTCTTGCTCCGCAGATGGTTGGAGAGGCAGTAAAAGTAGGTTGCTTCCTAGTTCTTGAATTTTCTAGGAGATTATGCATATATAATTGCAAGTAACAGTCTTATACTATCCACAGGGTGGTTTGCTAATTGCAGAAGTCATGTCAGCCAAGGGCTATAGAGTTCAACCACTTCCAAGGGCGCCACGCCATGATATTGTGCAGGTTGCTTTTAAGTTTAACTTTGATTAGTCTGAAAAGGCTTTAACATTAATTCACTAGCACATGAGTGTCCACACAAGCAAATATGACAGTATACATGCGTGATACAACATTACAACTTATTTTTGGATAAATCAGCATAGCTACTGTGATGTGTCACAAATTCAGAAAGCTCATGTAGTGAAAAACAGATTGCAGAAAAATAAAAATCAATAGAGTAGAGTAAGATAACTGATGAATGATGGTACTCTTCCAATGTTTAAATTTCGTGGAGAACACACGGCTGCAGAAACCATCTAATTCAAAGTTTGATCCTGACAGAAGGTCAAGCGGTCTATTTAAATCATTACACACTGTGCCTGTCAGTGTTAACATGTCACGGCATTTTTAAGACCAAGGAAATAACAAAATTGTTTGTTTTACTCACAGGCAGTAGAGCTTGGCAACAGGGAGAGACTCATAGCATTCTGTGAAGTTGTTCAACAAACTTGTCCAGTTGGATCGTTTATTAAGCCAACCGCTGGGGAAACTCCTGGTTATGCTTCAGAGGTATGTTTGTATACCCCCTTCTATAATCGTGTGATTATTGTTTTAGCTATTTTTAATAATATATTTCAGGGCAGTTTATCCCATGTATTTACTATTTTGCCCTAACTGATGATATGCTATTGCTATCTGCATAGTTTCCTTTTTTACTTTGATACAACAGTGATTAGCTCACCTGAATCAGGTCATTTTTGCTGATGGGACCTTCATGGATGGAAGCACAAGCGAGCTATCATGTGACGGGCCCTTAAGAGATCCATACGCTGTCTTCTGTCAGGTCAGTTGAGAATTGGCATCCTTGCATCCTAATTACTTGCGTTAATGCACAACAGACTCTATTGGTCCTGGAGCTTCAAGTACGCCTTCTCTTTCCTTGCACTGATGGCTCTCTTCCCTTGAACTGTATCGATGCAGGGAGGAACGCATTGGACACAGTGGGCTCTTGTCCTGGGTGAAGTTCTCAAGATCATATAGCTGTTTGTTACCAGAACCATGTCTCATTTCTGGAATGGAAGGCCATAGCACCGTTTGTTACCAAAAGATGTTCCATTTCCTGAAAGGGTAGGCTCTTGGTTAACTATAATCGATTAGTGAGTACGTGTAAATTTAAGCGGGAATCATCACGTAATCTTCATAGTTTCCTTTTTATCGATCCTGTCATATAATTCTTTACTTAATGCAGGAACCATGATGCTCACAACATTCTTTTGGTTGAGCCGGATGAGTGATTGAAAGCAGCCGGTGGTTGATTGGCAACGTAACTTTGAAGCCGGAGCTTTATTGACATCTAGATAGCTTCTGCCGCCAACTTGGCAGTTCATCAGGTTACCGCTTCAAACCGTAGGAGTTACTTAGTTTAGAAATGCTTTGGAATTTGCCAACTGCAGAAGAGATAGATGGCTGCCACATCACTTCATTTTGAAGGATCGCTTTGTGTACTGCCAAGGGATCCGCTTTGCTTATGTTTTTATATATACTTGAAATTTTGTCACTCAATAGTTGGGATCAGTTCTGTACGCCATCCTCCTCTGGTCAATTGCTCCCTCCTTAAATAGATAGGGGTTCCTCCTAAGCTCAAGTAGCAAACGCCATCGTGCTTAGTTCTACCAGCACGTCAGCCTCGCCACCGACGCCCTCAAGTGTTATTCTTGCACAGTCACCATAGACACAGAGGTGTCCATTTCCTCATATGGGTCTTCACTCTCAGGCACTATAGCTGCGGCTGCATTGAGCCAGTGACTGCACTGGTCTGTCATTGGGTTCAGGGCTGCATCGAGTAGTAAGGTCAACTCCAACGCATCACCCCATTTGGTTTGTTCATGTCCGTTTAGATTGAAACGGAGTTTGTTCATGTCCATTTAGATTGAAACAGACAAATGACACGGCCCAACGCACGGCCACAAGAGCAAATTATGTCTGTCCTGTCTCCGCCTCGACCCAATTTCGACGCAAATTTGAGGCGGATTTGCGTCCAGATGGACACTTGGACGGATGTGCATGCGTCCTCTTGTCTTCCGCCCTTGGGCCCAATGGCGGCCACACAACTTCTTCCCACCGGCCCCATTTAATCCGCCCGTGGGAGGGCCCGCATGTCAGCCACCCAGCTGCCCCCGACGCGTCCCTTTTAATGGCAAGCAGTGGACCGACCAGTCCACTTCTCTGCCCCTCCCCCTACGCACCTGACACGTTCTAGCCCCGCGCTGCCCTCGCTCCGCCGGCCGCCGCCCAACCATGGGCATGTGGAAGTGGATCCCTGGCAAGCCAGGGAAGCACGACCGTGAGACGGGGTCGTCTTCTGGGCCGTCCGCCGCTGCCGGCTTCTCCATTGCGCCGCGCGCCGCGGATACGCCCCTATGTCAAGGTGGAGGTGTGCCAATACTACTGGTACACCTCCACCCCGTTGTCGTGGTCGAACGCCCATCTCCCGACCTGCTGGCATCTGAGCCCAGATTGGGTGCCAGTGCCAGCCATTTCGGCGAGCGGCCATGCCCGGATTCTCGAGATCAACCGTCGCAGGGCCTTGTTGCCTCCAGACCTCGTTGACGAACCCAGGTACGACGTGAACTCCCCTCTTTGGGGCACATGGTTCCGGGTGAGCACGACCTACGGCGACAGACTTATTTTTGTCGGCCATGCTCAGCGTCCGCCACCGGCGTACTCTAGGGCACCCCATGATCATCCTCCCAGCCCTCCCCGTCCGCACGGGCGTGCAACCACGTACGCCCTTTCCGCCCCCGCCACCACCACATTAGCCCATGACGGCCAAAGAGGAGGAGGAGGTGGTGAGGAAGGTGCTCGAGGACTCGGCGATCGAGTTCGAGCGCGCCCAGTGCGACGGCCTTGACATGCAGATGGCACTGTCGATCGCCGGCAACGTCATCACCCTGGAGCTCGAGGAGATAGAGGAGCCAGACGACGCAGAGGCACGGTGGGAACCCGACAGTTGTGGGCCAGTCCTGGACGTGGACTATGACGATGGCCATCACGCCGGAGTTGATGTCTGGGCCTGCCGTGCGGTTAGGGGCCAATATGTGGTCACCGCCCCACGTGCCAACGCAGGCACCGCCGCCCCTGCAGTGCAACCAGCACAGGCGTCATTGGCCCACCTGTGGCAGACGTCGCCCTTCATTGACCTCAGCACGGACGAGGAAGACGACAACGACGACATGCATTGAAGGTGACCAAGGACGGTGGCGACGTCCGATCTAGGGTTTATATTTAAGTTTTTAAATATTTTTAGTTCAATTTATGGTGGACAATTTGGCTGGTACTTTTGGACTAAGTTTAATCTATTAGTTCAAGTTTATGTCCTTTACTCCTTTTTACTATGAAATTTAAGTTTCAATTGTCGACGCCATTTGAAATGCGTCAGGCCGTTGGGCGCACCAGCGGGCGGACGACCGTAAATGGATGCTCGTGTCCATTTGACCGACCCAAGCGAACAGAGAATTCAGACAAATCAGACATCTATTTGGGGTCCTGCATTGGAGTTAGGCCTAACTGCTCCCTGCCCACATAATTTACTCGCTTCATTGGGGGTTCCTTTCCTTCATTGGATGCCTCCTCCAGGAGCAGTGCAGCAGTACGTCTTTTACTATTGCTGTATTGGAGCTTTCCACTTTCCACGGTCGAAATAATGGACAGCAAAAGAGATCCCCACTCAACTACCACCACCAAAGCTCCCACTCACTGACCAACACCGATCTGAGCCAGAGGAAAGGAGCACCCCGCAGAGTGAGTGACTGCCATGGAGATGAAGATGGCCGTCGGCGCGGCCAACTGGCTCGTCGGCAAGGTGCTGACCAAGCTGTCCGACGAGCTGGTGTCCGCCTACATGGACAGCTCCGAGCTCGGCAGCAACTTCCTGAACGCCAAGCACCAGCTGCAGTACACCCAGGGGCTGCTGTCCGCGTCCGTGGGCAGGGACGTGAGCGACGACCCCGGCCTGCACGGACTGCTGGGGGAACTGAGCAACAAGGCCGACGAGGCCGAGGACGTGCTCGATGAGCTCCACTACTTCATGATCCAGGTGGGTTGTTTGCATATGCATCGATCTGTAGTAACTGTAGTAGTCCTGTAGAGAGATCTGGGCGCCGTTGTCTAAAATGCTTCATGATTCACCCATCCAGGACGAGATCGATGGCACCAAGGAGGCTGCTGTGGAGGTGGGCGGCGGCATCAAGGGTCACTCCATCCATGGACGCCATGTTGCTCGCTACACCCTCGGCAACTGCCTTCCATGCTTTTCATCTCCGCGCACTCTAGGTGATGATCATCCTCCTGCCGTTGCTGCTGCGGAGGTGGGCAGCAGCAGCCATGTTTCTCGCTACACCCTCGGTAGCTGCATTCCATGCTTCTCATCTCCGCGCACTCAAGGTGATGATCCTCCTCCTGCGGCTTCTGCTGCGGAGGTGGGCGGCCGCAGTCATGTTTCTCACTACACCCTCGGTAGCTGCCTCCCGTGCTTCTCATCTCCGCGCACTCAAGGTGACGATCCTCCTGCAGTTTCTGATGCTGCTGCCACCAGTAAGCCACATAGTGAAGACATGTCCAGTACCAACAGTGATATGATGATGATGATGATGATGATGAGTACTGATGATGATGATGATGATGATGATGTTGATGACGATGTTGATATTAAGTTGCCATTTAACAGAGTAGCCATGTCCAAGAAAATCAAGTCTGTCATAGAGGAGATGAACTCCATCTGCCAGCTTGTCTCTGACCTGCTCAAAACTGCAAGCACAAATGTCACGATTGAAAGGCCTCCAACTGGTTCAGTAGTTCCACGAGATAGAAAACTGTATGGAAGGAGTGACATTTTTGAGCAAACTGTAAATTCACTCACCAATGGCACATTTCGTGATAAAACCCACACTGTCCTGCCTTTCATTGGCCCCGGGGGCATCGGAAAGACAACCTTCACACAGCACCTGTACAATGATGAAAGAATCAAGGGTCACTTCCCCGTCAGGGTCTGGGTGTGTGTCTCAACTAATTTCGATGTGATTAGGCTCACCAGGGAGATACTTGGCTGCATACCTGCAACAGCTAACACAAGCACAACTGAACCAACAAACTTAGACCAACTTCAGAAAGCCATTGCAGAGAGACTGGACTCCAGAAGGTTCTTAATTGTGTTGGATGATATGTGGACTTGCAAGAGTGCGCGTGATTGGGAAAACCTATTAGCCCCATTCACAATTGGGGAAACCAAGGGCAACATGGTTCTTGTCACAACTCGATTGCCATCTGTAGCACACATGGTCAAAACAACTGATCCGGTACAAGTGCATGGTTTAGAGCCTGATGACTTCTTTGCACTGTTTGAAGCATGTATATTTGGTCACAACAAACCCAGGCTTTATGATGATGACTTAGTTAATGTTGCAAGAGATATTGCAAAGAAACTCAAGGGTTCACCATTGGCAGCAAATACAGTTGGTCGGTTGTTGAAGAAAAACATCTCTTGGGAATATTGGATGGGAATTCTTGAAAATAATGAATGGCAAAGTGCAAAAAATGATGATGATATTTTGCCATCTCTGCAAATCAGCTATAATTACCTTCCTTTCCATCTGCAGAAATGTTTTTTTTATTGTGCCCTCTTCCCAGAGGATTACAAGTTTTATGATTTGGAAAAAATAACTAATTTCTGGATGGCAATGGGTATTGTAGACTCAAATTGCCAAAATGACAAGAATTACTTAGACGAACTAGTGGACAATGGTTTTCTCATTAAGGATAGTGATGCTGATGGTGAATACTATGTGATGCATGATTTATTGCATGAACTATCTCGGAATGTTTCATCACAAGAGTGTCTAAATATAAGTAGTTTAAGTTTCAGAGTCAACGGCATCCCACAATCTATTCGGCACTTATCAATCACCGTAGAAGACTATTATGATGAAAGTTTTGGTCAAGAAATATGTAAACTGGAGAGTCTTATAGACATTGGAAATTTGCGGACTTTGATGGTTTTTGGATCACATCATTCAGAAATATGTGATTTTCTGGGACGTGCATTTGAAGGAATAAAGAGTCTCCGGGTTCTATTTATACCTAGCTTTCCAAAAGATTTGCCAAAGAGCTTTTCACATCTTATCCACCTCCAATACCTTAAACTCATGCCACCTTCTGATGAGGACCATTGGAGATATCCACCTGGAAAATTACCAAGATTTTACCACTTGAAATTCTTGGACATCTATGGTTGGCGGCACCCTTTTATAATTTCCCCTAAAATCATTAGCCGCCTTGTAAGTTTGCGCCATATCTATACTTCCACAGAATTCCGTTCTCTTATCCCTGAGATCGGAAAGATGAAGTGGTTACAGGAGCTAAGACAATTTCGTGTTAAGAGGGAAAGTGTTGGGTTTGAACTGAGCCAGCTGGGGGAATTGACAGAGCTTGGGCAGCTTGTTATATGTAATCTTGAAACCGTGGCATCCAAAAAAGAAGCTGATGATGCTAAATTGAAGGATAAAAGAAATCTGAAAGAATTGGAATTAGTTTGGGGTGCAGATGGTGATGTTACAGATGGTGATGTTCTTGAGGGTCTTCAACCACCCCCTAATCTTAGAGGGCTTGGCATTAGAAATTATGGTTTTGCCGCTGGTCCTAGCTGGTTGTGCAGTGACATTAGCATAAAAAGGCTGGAGTCTCTACATCTGGAGGGTATATCGTGGGACACTCTTCCACCTTTTGAGCAGCTACCACACCTCACCAACCTCAAACTGGGGAATATTGCTGGGATGCGTGTGTTTGGGCCTGGATTTGTTGGTCTTACAGAGAGAAGTTTTATGCACCTGAAGACAGTTCAGATTATGGATATGCCAGAACTTGAGGAATGGGTTGGGGGACCCAATAGCCCTTCGTTTTCAAGGCTTGAAAGCATTAATTGCTGGTGTTGCCCCCTTCTGTTCTCGTTTTCCTTCTTGGAGTGTTGTACCAACCTCTGTCAACTTTGTGTTGCTAATTGCCCAAATTTGTCACAGTTGCCCCCTCTGCCTCATACTTCTACACTGACAGAGTTTTCTGTGAACAAAGAGATATTCAGTGGCTTGGCGTATGATGGAAAGCGGTTGTCTGCTGAGCACTATGAGGGTGCGTTGGCCTTGCATCATATGGATAAAGTAGAGTCTATAGAAATTCGTTGCTCACCACAAGTTTCATTGTCAGTGTCGGACCTCCAAAAGATGAAGTCCCTGAGAGAACTAACTGCCATATGTTGCGCCAGCATATTCAATCCAGTCGTCGTCGAGGAATTGGCAGCCCATGACAAGTCTTTGGACGAAGAAAATATCTCTGTAGCGACAGATCTGATCCCAGAGGTGGCAATGAGCAAATCTTTGCACCCAGATTCATTCAAACTGGAAGAAATGACGGTGGATAACATCTCGGAAGTGCTTACTGCTCCCATTTGCAGACGCCTTGCCGCTACCCTTCACACATTAGCGTTCTGTAATGATGAGGTGACTGAAACCTTCACGGAAGAGCAAGAGCAAGCGCTTTATCTTCTCACCTCCCTCCAAAGCCTAGAATTTTCAAGGTGCAAACTGCAGTCTCTCGGCTATATGGCCTTTCTTCTCTCAAGGAATTGACAATCAATAGCTGTGATGGAATCCAATCACTGCCGTCTATTTAATCAGGGCAAGATTATATTCTGAAATTTGGGGCAAGTATATAGCATACCTAGTTAGCGCATGTTGCTGACATTTTTCATGGTTTGGATCTCCTTTTAGATGCAAAGTCTGAACTGCAATGGTGGACAACTGCTATAGTAAAATTGTTTAGGCATCAGCGCCTCCAATGGTGGTATGTTGTTCATGATGGTCATCATCATTCATTCATATGAATGACAGACAAGTTTTACCTAATCGGGCATTTGCATGGCAGGGAGAGGATCTGATCGCCGGTAGCTTGATAAAGAACCGTGGCGGTTATGTTGCCAGGAAGGAAGATTTGGTTGTCGCAGCTGCGGCTCGCCTATCTGCACCTGACCACGGGGTGGAGTTTGGGTCAGCACCTGACCATGTTATGCGAACAGTGTTTCAAGGCTTGATTCTTGGCTTCTTGCTCCGTAAATTGTTGGAGAGGCAGTAAAAGTAGGTTGCTTATCAGTTCTTGCCGTTTCTAGTAAAGATCATGTCAGCCAAGGGCTATAGAGTTCAACCGCTTCCGAGGGTTCCACGCCATGATAATATGCAGGTTACCTTAACTTTACATTAAATTGTGCAAAATATTATTTTTGCTATGTTTTATTATCTTCATATTTTCCCTTTTTTGTTTTGATACGAGATTGATTAGTTCATTCACTTGAATTAGGTCAATTTCGCTGACGGGACATTCATGGATAGAAGCACAAGCGCGATATCATGTGATGGGCCCTTAAGAGATCAAAATGCTGCTCCTCGGTCAGGTCAGTTACTTGTACTAAAATGCACAACAGACTCTGATCGGCACCAGGTTTAAGGTTGAGACTTGAGAGCCTGGGCCATCAAGTATGCCTTCTCCGATGCACTGACGGCTCTTCTCCTTGAAATGTATCCATGTAGGGAGGACACACCTGGGCACAGTGGGCTCTTTTCCTGGGTCAAGTTCTGAAGGTCATATAGCCGTTTGTTACCAGAAGACTTCCCATTTCTCGAATGGGTAGGCTCTTCCTTAACTATTGATTAGTGTTTCTGTTGATTGATGGGAATCATAAGTAATCTTCATAATTTGCTTGTTATTGATGCTGTCAGATCTGACACGGTGCTAGCTAGCTAACCAACTGACACAAGGATTTCCTTAATGCAGGAACCATCATACTCACAGAATCTTTAGATTGAATCGATGAGTGATTTAAAGCAGCAGAGATATTTCAAGGTTGTGAAGAGTTCAGCTGATTGATTAGCAGAGTAACTTCAAGTCAGAGCATCATCCATACCGGATAGCTTCTGCCACCGACTTGCCAGTTCAAGAAGAGATAGAGATGACTGTCACACCACTTCATTTTGGGGGATTCTTGTGTATAATGAATCCACTTTGCTATAGTGTTAGGGTGATTCTTTTTTACATTTTTATAAAAAAAATCCACTTAAAAATAGTCCAGATCAGTTTGTAGTTTGATCATAAACAGTTATAGGATTTTTTGTTATTTTTTATGAATATTATTATAATTTCCTTATTTATTATTATTCGTGTAGCCAGTCTTCTTGTAACAAATCTATTTCCGACCATGAATTAATTGATTTTCCTGGTCAAAGATAAAGCATCTTTGCCTATCTTTTGTCATTATGGTTAGTTTCACAGCTTTCTCTTAAGAGATGAATGTACCCATCTGTGCATATACAAGTATAAAACGCAGAATGTAAACATAGTGCCGCGTGTATGACAACTGTGGCTCTGGTCAATGAGCAAACTTCTGATCAAAGATATCTTCATCATGAGATCAGATGCAAACGCAAGCAACATAGTTACTGCTAAGCAAAAGTCAAAGAGAGAGACAAACCTCACACCCCCAAGAGCATGTGCCTCACCTTGAGGCAAGAGAAGCATCCTGCATTCCTAAGCAAGTAAGCAGCTTTTCCTTTCCAGAATCCAAGCAACCGAAAAGAATGCCAAGTTTCTTCACATTGCATAAACAGAGCAACTGCTGGAGATCTCGGAAGGATGCTAGTGAGAGGGTACACTACACACAAAATGGATGTCGTGGTGGGCGCACGGCAGATGCCATGGGATGGCTAAAGAGAGGAGGAGGCTCGAGGGCACTGGTGGGCTCCAGAGGCGAGGTCGGCATGAGCGAGCGCGGGACGCGAGACATATTCAGTTTCGGGGCTCTCGGAGAGATAATACCTCTAGTCCTGCCGAGTGTGGTTGATATGCAACAGTACAAAGTTGCTCCTAGCACTACTAGGAAAATGGCTATAGATGGGATTGACACTAATGGCGCACCAGAAAGATGGTGCGCCATTAGTATATACTAATGGCGCACCACAATCTGATGCGCCATTAGAGTTTAAACAACTAATGGCGCACCATGCTACGGGTGCGCCATTAGTATCAAATTTTTTTTTAACTAGTGCGCCTGTCCAAACATACTAATGGCGCATCCCGGCAAAGTGCGCCATTAGTAGTTGTAACTACTAATGGCGCACTAGGCAGCAGGTGCGCCATTAGTATAGAATTTTTTTTTTGAACTAGTGCGCCTATCCAAACATACTAATGGCGCATCCTGCCCAAGTGCGCCATTAGTAGTTGTAACTACTAATGGCGCACCAGGCAGTGGGTGCGCCATTAGTATAGGATTTTTTTTGAACTAGTGCGCCTATCCAAACATACTAATGGCGCATCCTGCCCAAGTGCGCCATTAGTAGTTGTAAGTACTAATGGCGCACCATGCAAGAGGTGCGCCATTAGTAAGTGGGCAGCAACAAGATATTTGGGACAGCCTCTCCTACCCACACACTCACTTTCTCCCCACTTCATTCTCTCCACCTCCTCCTTGTCTCGGGTGCCTCCTCTTTTTCACCTCATTTCCACCATAGATTCATTCAAATTAAGTGGTTAAATTACCTTGTTTTAATAGGTAAGTAAGGGGGGAAGCTATATTTAGGTTGTTCTCCTTACAACAATGTGCACATGCACTTTTTACGGCCTAGCTAGATCTATGTATGTTCGTGGTGTTGCATATGTTTGTGGTGTTGCATATGTGTTTGTGTTTGGAGGTGTACCGGTATTTGATATGCGATAGTTGCCAATATTTTGCCGGAATGTTGATTCATTTCCGTTTCGGCGAGAATTTTGGCATTAAGCATTCTTTTTGGTCCTATTTTTAGGGAAGGTCATGCCAAATTTTTGTTTGGTTCTAAAATATCGTTTTGCTCTACCCCGCAGGCGACCATGGTCCGCACGATGACCGAAGGCATCGTGAATAGGTTTTTGAGGTCCGCGAAGGCCGAGATGCTTCAAAAGAACGAGACGGAGATAAGATGTCCGTGTCGAAGATGCAAGTTGAAGAGCCTTATTGCGGACCCGGATTCCGGGCAGGTGCGGGACCACCTGTTGTTGCGTGGTTTCATGGATGGCTATCGGTGGCAAGGTGATGAAGATGACTACGAAGTCGTCCATGCGGGCCGGGCAAGAAATGAGGAAGGGCAGCAAGACAACCACCGTGGCTTGGGCGGGCGAGAAGACGAAGAATCCCCAGGAGATGATCACGACTGTGATGCTGTACACAGTCATCATGTAGAAGATGCAGGACATGATGATGAGGAAGATGCCGGAGCAGGCGACGGGCATGATCATGAAGATGATGATGCCGGCGGAGCAGACGACGCTGGACCATCGATGGGCTGGGTGCAGGACCCTCATATTCAAGAGTTGCTTCTCAAGCAGACGGATAACGCAAGAGCTGCCGCCCGAGAGAAAGCCAAGATGGATCAACTTGAGTTAGACGCGGTTACTCCATTGTATGAAGGATGCAGGCCCGAGGATACCCGCCTGAAAGTAACGCTCATGGCCCTGGAGATGAAGGTAAAACACAAAATGACCGACGCATGCTTCGACGAGAACATGTCATTCTGGCACGAACGTATTCCCAAGGGGAACAAGTGCCCGACCAGTTTGGAGGAGGCGAAGAAAATCGTGTGTCCTCTGGATTTACCGCACGTGAAATACCATGTGTGCATGAACAATTGCATCATTTATCGGGACGAGCACGCGGAGTCTACAATATGTCCGGTGTGCGGTGTCACTCGATACAAGAAGAGGAAGAAAGCTCCTCGAAAAGTGGTGTGGTACTTTCCGATCACTCCTCGTCTGCAGCGGTATTTCGCGGATCCTAAGGTAGCAAAGCTCCTACGTTGGCACGCGGATAGGGAGGAGAAGAAGCGAGAAGATGACGCAAATGATCCGGAGATAGATAAAAAAGACAAGATGCTGAGTCACCCTAAGGATGCGAGC